TACAAGTGATCATTTGCAAAAACAAATGGACTTAACATAACGAAAGAGTGTGTGTCTAAGGCATCACTTCTGGCCAACGCAAATGTCAATCTATCCTGTCAACTTCATGGAGCATTTACTCACAAACAGGTGCTAGAATCCGCCAGAAATTCTAATTTTCTACCATTGCACTGATGAAAAACGACATTGATGTATGAAAACATAAAAATTCATCTAGTTTGAGTTACTTTTAATGGAAGAGGAAAAGGTATCTCACAGTTGCTGAAGCCCAAACCCAAGCCCTAAAAGTGAGAAGTTGAGGTTTGAGCTTAAGTGCTTCCATCAGTAAATTAGCTTCTTTCCACTCTGATTTGGCCTTTGACACAGCCTTTTCCGTAGTCCAGATTGCATCATCCACCTAACAACAAGTCCACATGTTTCAGAAGCCAAAAATCACTGACATCAAACCAAACCAGTAAACAAAAAGCAGAAAATCAGAAACTGAACTTGCAAAGCTTGCATTTCGAACTCACTGAAACTTGCTAGTATGTCATAACTGCGTGGCAAATGCATGAAGTAAGGGTACCACCATGAACTCCTCCCTTTACCCATTTCGTATAACAAACAAACAGCCAATATCTGCATTGCATTCTTTCTAAGTTAGAACCTCAGAAACCTCAAATTCAAATAAGATCATCAAAAATTCTATTCTAATAAAAAACCATTGCAACAATTAGTCCTCTCAATATGACAAAAACCAACACAGTAAAGTTATGAACCAAAAGAAAAGGAATAATAAAGAACTAAAGAAATGAACTTTTTAACAATCAAAACAAAGTTCGTATCTTTATCTTTATTTAACCAACGAAACGTTAATCAAAATACTCACAAATAAATGAATGAAGAAAAGGAAAAAAACAACCTGGGTAGGGGAGAGAGAAGAGTAGGTTTTATAATTGACGACAGAACAAAGTTTCTCATCTTTCAATAAACTTGCTCTTGTGATCAAAACAGATTTTGGAACTCTAAGAACCAACTCTCCTTTTTTTATATCCCTCGCAGCACCCAAACCTCTCCTGCACCCAAAACCCAATTCCAAACATTATCAACAAAAACAGATAACAGCATAAACAGCGTATGTCAGTGTTTTGTAGTATGTATATATATAGTTACCGTCCTGCATCAGGGAACTGAGAGACAGTGAGAGAATGGCCTAAACAAGAAGTGGGTTTTTGAGAGTGATGAGACAGATTTGTGGGGCAATCTGAGATTCCTAGGTTTGCTGCCCATTTTAGAAATCTTTCAAAACTTTCTTCTTGCTCTGCTCCTCCCATGTCTCTCCTTGTTTGTTTGCTGTTTATCTGCAAGACAGTGAAGGATGATAACGTATGCGAATTCAGAACAGAGTAAAGGACTAATTTATAGGTTTTAAAATATAAAGGACTAATTTATAATTTTGTTAAACCTATGGGAACTAACGAATAATTTACTCAGAAGAATACTGCATTAGGCCAAGCAGATTACATGGGCCTTTAACTATTAGGAAAACATGGGCTTTGAGAGTCCTTTGCAGATGAAGGAATTAGGGCCTACACGAAGAAGAGCGGAAACATGGGCTTTGAAAAAGTGGAAAAATCAAGAAGCCAGCCCAGTGTGATTGCAATTAAAGCCCAGGTCTACAAAGAGGAGATTGTATTTTGCAAAACACTTTGTAGCTGTTTCGAACCTTGATTGATTTTTGTAACTTAATATTATTTTTTTCAACTTATTTTGATTTTTGTTTTAAAAAACAGAAAATATAAAAAAATAAATTTTGTAAAATAAAATAATGTTAAATTAATTATAGTCAACACCGATTAAAAGAGTAATAAATTAATTTTTGAAAAACAAGAAGAATTATTCATTATTTTTTAAAAAAACTAGAAATATTAATTTATAATTTACCCACATGATCATCCACTAGAAAATACAAATCGGGACTCTCAATTTTAGTTTTCAATTGCAAGTTGCCAACAAATATTAATCACCATATCATTTTGATCATAATTAAATGCATTAATTATGAATTAGCTATCAATTTCCCTCCATTGTTTGTTTTTGATTTAACATAGCGTAAGATATGCAAGTGAAAGTGACAGTTCAACAAGGCAAAAACCTTTGTATTTTTCTTCCATGGAAGTGTCCATTTTTTAGCACATAAAATACCAATGTTAGGTACTATAATATTTTTTTTTATATAACTCAAGGTGTCCAGGTCGGTTTGTGCGCACCACAATTAATCCTTAAACCCACTGAACATCCTGCAACCTCAGTGGGTAGATAAGGCATCGTGGTGGTGATAGACGTGCGCAGAGAGAGTCAAACCCGAGTAGTGATCAGGCAAGCCCTCAACGGCTAGACTACGACCTCAAGCGCTAGGTACTCTAATATTAATATTGATGTTGCCTAGGCCATTATTTTCGAGGCTGCTTGTTTGTTGCCACCATTAATCAAATTTTGCTACTTTGTCTTTTCACACATGTCCTCTCATATATATATATATATATATATATATACACCCCAGTCTATATTTGTTCGAGTGCAAAAATATTTATAAAAAAATTCTTTCTTTTTTCTTTCTTTTTTTTTTTTTGTTTTTTTACGGAAGAGGAGGCAAAGCTAGGGCATCTATAAACAAATATCGACGTTCGTTTTTATGCCTGGCCACATATTTGGCACATAGGAGACGAGGACATGCCACTGTAGAAGTTTATGTTTCTATTTTGTCCTTTCACAGATATCATCTTTATTTTTATAAATAAACCTATGTTTTCCTACCATTACACACAAAAAAAAAAAAACGTATTATTACGGGATTGATGAGCTTTTCAACTTAGTTATGTTGAGTTGGATTTGATAAAAATTTTAGTAAGAAAAAAATAATTGAAAAAATTAAATTTTAAACAATAAGAGTAATATAATTAGATACATATGTTCAAACTAAAATCTTAAAAAATATCATATATATTTTATCATTTTCAAACATGCTTATTATATTCGAGTACTTAATTTTTAGTAAATATCAAACAACTTGTCGTGAACATATTCAGTACTTAACATATTCAACACTTAAAATTCAGACTTAACATATTCAACACTTAAAATTCAGTACTTAATATATTCAACATTTAATTTTTAATTTTTAATTTTATCAAACATCACCTTAGATTAATATAGAAAAACTCTCGATATAGAAATCCTCCTTTATTTGTAAAAAATTATTTTATGAATAAGATTTACAGTAATGAAAACTGTCGGAACTGGATTATATAATTAAATTGTTGTAATTAAATGAATCTTTATAAAATAATATGATTGATTTGATCCCTACGGACATGCTCTAGTTACATTTTATCCTGAAAAGACTTGGATTTTATCCTTGACCAAGGCTAGTGCAAAGTTGTCGAAGAAATCTATTTTATTATTATTATAGAGTTTCATGATGTTTAACATACCGCCAATGTTGAATTTTTTCCTTGTTGGTGGCTATTGTTGATTCATTTAAAAAAAAAAAAAGAAGTCAAATTTCCTCTATTTTTTAAATGGTATGATAAACAATAATCCAAAGAAAAACAAAAATTAAAAAGATTTATGGTCAACAAATAAACAATCGATCCTATTTAGGAAATTTATACACCAACAAATGAACAATCAAGTTTATTTATAGGTCTCAAAATTGAGATGAGAATTAGAAAAGACTCGAATAATTAAAAGTATTTCAATTGCATCATTCTTTCAATTTCTCGTATTAAATAGTGAATTGAATCACATTAAAGATCGTGAATAATGGAGATATGAAAAGTAGATGAACATTTATTATTTTATAATAAAAAGTCAATTTTACTCTATTTTTTAAGTGGCATAATAAACAATAACTCAAAGGAAAAAAAAATGGAGGGGATTCATGGTCAAGTTCTTAGACCATTTTTTCCAAGTCTTGTGTAGGACGCATATAAAAAAAAATTAGGTTTTGCTAATTTCTTCAAGTTAGAAGAAATCAATAACTTTTAGATCCATTGTTAATCAGATTGAAAAAATAACTTCCTTTCATAATCAGAAATGGACAATTTAAATTAAAATCTGGATATTCCTACCACTGAAATCTTTTTTTTTTAAAAAAAAAAAAACTATAACCTTCTACCTATAGCTAAATATAAAGACACTGATTTTGTATCGGATCTATATCGAACGCTAATAGATCTCTAGTATAACAACAACGAGTTAGTCATGCTTACAAGAAAATCACGAATTCAATTTTTTTATATATCTAAAATATCGAGCTTAAAATTTGTTATATTTTAAAGAAAATCATAATAATTTTTTCATAATTCAACTCATGATAATATGATTCTTCTGTCTTATTAACTATTAACATTAATTCTTATACGCTATCAGGTCAATGGTCATATTCTACTACAGAAATTACAAGTCATTCAAGAAGAAAGAAAGGATGAAAATAGTAATAAAAAAAGATTATGGACTACGTGTCTAATAGGAGGCCTTTATCCCCAAGAACAACGTGTGGACCCATCCCCCAACTCCAACAATAGTCAATCCCAAACAATTTTCTTTTCCTACATATCAAAAAAGTAAATTATAAATTACTCCCTTTAGTTTTAAAAAATAATTATTCAGTTCCTTAATCAATATTTATTTCTCTCAATTTAATAATTTTTTATTCCATTTTTTTCATCAATCTCTCCATAATAAATATTTTTTATATGTTTAAAAAAAATGCTAAAAAATAAATAATTATTTTTTAAATATGAGGGACTGGTTAATTTATTTTCAAAACTAAAGGGACTAATTTGTAATTTACTCCATAACCAAACAAAACAAAAAACAGTGTCGAAAAGGAAAAGACCATAAAGAAATAAAAGGTCAATTTCTTACATCGTTGGGAACTTTTGGCCCCCACCAATCTATCTTCTTGTCCGAGTAGTATACCTACAATAATATCCTCAAAGAATCATTGTGTTACTTTAACCGTTCGCTGACCCTTTGCCACGTGTACATTGCCCCCCTACATGACCCAGGATCTTCTCTACCTTTCTTCTGATAACGTTATCTTCCATTGATTGGTGGATGTGTCTACGTGTCCATCTGGGTTGGATTTCATTGCTCTTTTTTGGGTACTTTTCCTGACCTACCAAAAAAAAATGTCCACATTCAAAGTTGGGTTCTCATTGGGTCAATCGGGTCAATTCTCCAACCCAATGATAAACATTCCTGAATAATTTAGATCGAGTCAATCAGCACTTATAATCAAGTGTACAAACCCTAGATTTTTTTAGGTTTTTGTAATACATTCTTAAATTTCGATTATGGAGAGATCATAAGAAGAGATTTTTACAGGATTATTACTTAGTTATCCCATATTATCAAGATGAATAATAAACAGCAATGATACTTAACCGTTGACAAGGTTTTTGCAATTATGAGTTTCTTTTAATTAAAAAAAAAGTTTCTTTTAATCAAATTTCACGTGCCAAAACTCTATTTATTTATGATTTGATAAAGTATGATTTTAATTGTTAAATAGAGATCATGTTTTTTTGTCAATATATAATATCTTAATTCTAAAATTATATTTATCGAAAAGAATTAAATTTTATTATTTTTATTTTGAATATAATTAATTTTATCTCTAGGTTTGAATAAAAAATACATGAGAAAAAAAAAGATAGATTACGTTCTTTTAACTATCAAGATTTTTTTTTCAAGGTAAAATGTATTTTCAAGTTAATTAAAATTAAGTTTCCTCTTGAAATGATTTTAATAATACGGCTCTAATAAGATCTATCACATTAAAGTTTTTTTTTAATGTTAATTTCAAGGTTCGGATTTAAAAAATCAATAAAAAAATACATTTTATTGACCGTCTAAGATCCAACCAATCTCTGGGGATTATCCAACATTTATTGCACCTTTTAAAATTGGTGGGAGAAATTAACAGATTGCTTTTAATTCACCAAATTTATAAAATGCAGTGACAACTCTAACATTGAAAATTTTCCTTACAATTGTCACACTTCTTTCTATTATAGACATTTTAGATTTAATTTTTTTTTTCTAAAAATGGTGAAACACATAGATTCAAATTTTTTTCGTGTTTCTATCAACTATGTTCGTGGAATCTAAATCATTAATTTAAATCGATAACAATTTTTTTTTATTACTCACACTTAACATAGATCATTGAATCAAAACTAATAATGAAATTTAAAACATAATTATAATGTTCATTAAAAAAAAGGTAAAAAAACAAAAGGGGATGATCCATACCTTAAAAACACAATATTTATTAGGTTTATTGTACCAAAAAATACGAATTTATATTTTTTAATCATATTAGCACGTTGTTTAAATAATAAATAGAAAATACACAAATTAAACTTCTACTCGTCATATTAACACACATTTCATTTTTTCTGATTAAAATTATGTTAATAGTTGTTAACAAATTTTGCTGAAATAAGTCATGTGTCGTAATAAAATTATCAAAAGTTTAGTTTGTGTATTTTTTATTTAATATTGAAAAAGCCTATTAATATAACTAAAATATGTAATATTTATGTTTTTTTTAGTACAATAATCTATTTATTGGAAATAATTTGTGCCTAAATTTACCATTTTTTTTCCTTGATGGAGATCCAGGCAAGTCATCTGCCATCCTTATTTGAACTTGCAATTTTAGGAAAATTTTATTCTTTAAATTGAAATCCGATATGATAACATGAGAAACAAATGTATCTGGCCTTTTCGACCGAAAAGGTTGGGTTAATAGGCAGAAAACAAAAGAAAGAAAAAGACAAATAAACAAAAGCAAAACATTGTTACATTTGTAAGATTATCTGGGAGAGTGGAGAGTTTGTTTAGTGGCCGTTGTTAGTTTTCCAATTCATGTGAAGTCGGTACTTATAAAAACACTTCCGGTCTTAATTTATTAGAGAAAGCTCTTGTCAAAGTGAGTGGTGCAAAAGAAAGCAGAAAAAAAGGTTGGCTTTTTATCATCAGTTTATCATCACATAACACAATCTTTACCCTCTTCTTTATATAATATATATAGTTTCTGACTGAGATTTCTTTCGTAATGTTTCAATTACAGATAGCTTGAAGAAAAGTTTTACTTGCTGTTTTCAACACCATTAAGAACTGGTCTGTGATGGGTTCATTTTGAAAAAGTTGGTTTGCCTTTTTATGTGCAGGAGGAAGGTAGCGACTTCTTATGATCCTTGCTTGAGAAGTTGAGGTGGGTTTATCTTGAAAAGAAGAAAACTTTTGTGTTTCAAGTGAATTGGGATTGTTAAAGGACGATTCGAAGAGAGCTTGGTAACAAAAGACTAGTTTTTGAAATGGCTGTAGCTTTATTTTGGGTTGGTAGTGCCATACCAAGCCCAGAGGTTTCCAATTGTTCTGGATTCCTGGACTCTATCAGGGTTTTGGATACAACAAAGTTTGGCAATTCTAGAGATCGGAGTTCGAATTTTAAGGTTGGAGAGAAAACGGGTAGGAAACAGAAATGGAAGTCCTGTTCTATCAATACAGATTTGGGGTATTTAGGTGGTAGTAGTAATGGAAGCAAATTGCCTGTAATATCAAGCATGGTAGCAAGCCATGCTGGAGAAATGGCTGTGTCGTCATCCGAGCAGATGGTTTATAATGTGGTGATTAAGCAGGCAGCTTTGGTTAAGAAAGAACTGAAGTCTAGAGGTGATCTTGATGTGAAACCAGATGTTGTTCTTCCAGGGACCTTGAGCTTGTTGACTGAAGCTTATGATAGGTGTGGAGAAGTTTGTGCAGAGTATGCCAAGACATTTTACTTGGGTTAGCTTCCACTTGTTCAGTTAATGGGATTTTAATTTGTGGCTTTGTCTGGGTTTTGAACCCGGAATATGTTTTACTTGTGGATGGTTTTATTATTTGCCTTTTGCTTTCTCAGGAACTCTGCTCATGACCCCGGAAAGGCGAAGAGCTATTTGGGCGATATATGGTGAGTGAGATATGATTTTCTATCTGAAATTACATTTTTTACTTCGGCATATATTAAGAGAATTTAGAAGTTGGAGGAAGGTGATTCCAATCATTACAACATACATGTGTTCTTTTGAGATTTGATGATCGAACGATGAGCAAACTAATCTGAAGTAAAACAAAATGTGTTTTTGGGAGCTTATGAAATCTTGGTGCTAATTTTGAAGCTAATTGTGTATAGTGTGAACCATAAGAACTGATCTTTTCCTGTCTAGGATATATGTGAAGTCTTAAGTGCTCGCTTTATGGAATTTTTTTCAAATTTAAACTAATGCGATAATCATGTACTCAGAATTTCGTGGACAATGTTGCTCAAAGGTGAAAGCAGTCATACTGTGAACTGGTTTCAATACCTAGCACCTGATTTTTGCCCTTAATTTGTTTCTTCTGATTCATTACTGAAATCAATTTTGATCAATTCTGTCCTGTTTCTGATGTTTCTCATGTTATTTTCTATGAATGTAAGAGACCATGACTCTCAAGACAGAAAATCAACCTTTTCCTTTCTTCTTACAATGTTTTCTGCACATTTAGTTTGGTGTAGGAGGACTGATGAGCTTGTTGATGGGCCTAATGCTTCCCACATTACACCGGCAGCTTTAGGCAGATGGGAGGCAAGGTTGGAAGATCTTTTCGAAGGACGTCCATTTGATATGATGGATGCTGCTCTAGCAGACACAGTTGCTAAATTTCCTGTTGACATTCAGGTAAGGCGGTACTTTCCAAATCAAATTTACCTGTCACTTGGAAAATAATTACTCAACTACCAATCATTTTTTTTTTTTTTTTGGCATTGCAATGTATTCTGTTTGTAGGGTACTTTAGTATATTCTATAAGCTATGTGTAAGTAGCCGGCAGCTTGTATTTTTGAACTGTAATTACCTTTGTAGCTGTAGATAATTCTGAGATCATTTTCCACATCAATGTAGTATCATTTCTGTGTTTGCTGGTTACTCTCTGCAGTGATACTTTTCAGAATTTAGCAGCTGTTGGGAAGAGTTCTTTTTTTTTTTTTTTTAATCTGCTGTCATGCCCTAAAACTAGAATCTTAATTTTGTTTTCATTTTACATGAATTCAATTGCAATCCGATGGTTGGCACCTTGATTTAATGATATTGTAAAAGCACTTCCAATGATATTGTGTCTAAGTGAGATTCTTGTCTGATTTTTTCCTATGACATCTTGTTTCAGCCATTCAAAGATATGATTGAAGGAATGAGGATGGACCTAAGCAAATCAAGATACCAAAACTTTGATGAGCTCTATCTTTACTGTTATTATGTTGCCGGGACTGTTGGACTAATGAGTGTTCCAATCATGGGCATTGCACCTGAATCTCAGGCATCAACCGAGAGTGTTTATAATGCTGCCTTGGCATTGGGGATAGCTAATCAGCTCACTAACATACTCAGGGATGTTGGAGAAGAGTAAGTGCAGAGTGTTGTATGCCGCAAACTTGAAGTCACGATAAAAATACTTTGCAAACACTCTTTGCAGGGCTTTCCCATTCTTTTTGGAGAATCAATTAAGCAGTAGTCTAGAATTGGATGCTGCATTGAGTGGTCTCTGATGAACTAATTCTCTTAGCATAAATTTTTTTTCCCACCTATTTTTCTTTGTTATGGTTAGTCATCTTTTTGTATATGTAGTTCTTTTCCTTACCTTTTCCTTTTCTGTTGATTTTGTTTGCAGTGCAAGAAGAGGAAGGGTTTATCTACCACAAGATGAGCTGGCACAGGCAGGGCTTTCCGATGATGACGTCTTTGCTGCTAAGGTGACAGATAAGTGGCGAAACTTTATGAAGAATCAAATTAAGAGGGCAAGGATGTTCTTTGATGAGGCAGAGAAAGGAGTTCCAGAACTGAGTGCTGCTAGTCGATGGCCGGTAAACAATCAAGAACTTCTCTTGATATTTAAATAGCAAAATGATGAACCTTGAAGTTCTGCCCAGGCCTTGAGTGAACGATGGAAAAATGAAATAAAAAGTTAAAAAATGGAAATCATGAAACTAATTGAAGTTCAAAAATTGTCACATGATTGGCTTTGAACACATGCACTCTAATTAAAACATAACCATTCATTTCCTGGACTTAGAATCCTAGCAGGCGACGATCCATAGCTCTTGTTCTCAGTTATGACTTTGGCCCTTTTTTTGCTTTTTGATATTGCTGTTCCTGTAAATCGGACCGTCCAAAGCTTTATCCTATAATGTTTTCGTGAGTACGAAGATCAGAAATTCATCTTTTCAGCAATCCAAACAAGTAACATTATGATCATGGTAAACAAACGAAAGGATTAACATTTCTGACTGAGAATTTGAGACTCATAACTAGATTGTTTCTTCCGACAGTTGATTGTATCATTCTCTCTTACATTTGCATATGAACACAATGTTTTTGGATGTTGCAGGTTTCGGCATCCTTGATGCTATATCGGCAAATACTAGACGAGATAGAGGCTAACGATTACAACAACTTCACGAAGAGGGCGTATGTGAGCAAAGCCAAGAAGATAGTTACTTTGCCATTTGCATATGCAAAATCTTTCATCAGTCCATCGCCGGTGCCATCTCCTTTTGCAAAAACATAAACTGCAATAAGAACTTGAAGCTCAAAATTTTATACCTAGTGGAAAAAAATGGGTTACGTATTATTATATGTATATTAGCATGCATACACATACATCAAGCATTCATTGAATTAGTTAGAATGAAATTAAATTCCATTTTAAGGCTTAAATGCTAAAGTGAATTACAAGGAGCAAGAGGAATCATGTGGTTAGGCATTTTGCATTTTTATCCACAGACTGTATGGTATTTTCTTTTGCGTCTCCAGAAGGAAATACGGCCTTTGCTTTTATTTTCCTGTGTAGAGCTACCAAAATTTGAAGATCAACACAAGACAAAAGTCATCAAGTGAAAGAACAAAAACAGAAGAAAACATTATTATGAAATTGTAATTGTTTAAACTACATAGTACTTTTCCCCTATTTAGTCTGAATTAATTAGTCTTTTTCTCGTTTTAAAAACTAATTGTTTAATCTTTCATGTTTTTAAATCTACTTAAAATTTAAATTTTTTTTTCAATTTTTTCATTTTTTGTTTTGAAAAAACAGAAAAAGTATATATATATGAAAAAATGTCAGAAAGATTGATGGAAATTTTTTTTTTGTAAAATAAAAATAATATTAAATTAAGCATAATTAATACAGATAAAAAAACTAAATAATAATTTTTAAACAAAAAATCAATTAATGTGTTTCTTGAAACTAGAGGAATTAATTTATAATTTAATCTAAAAGATTGTAACACTTATTGAAAAAGGTTTTATGCATCGCACAACATAAATAAAAATAGATTTAGATCGAATATATATATATATATATATATATATATATATATATATATATATCAACAATTTTGATACAAATATAATTAAAATCTAAAAATATATATTTTTTATTTTTTGAAACTAGAGGGATTAATTTATAATTTACTCTAAAAGACCATTATAGTTACTAAAAAGGGTTTTATGTATCGTACAATATAAATGAAAATAGATTTAGATCGAAAAGCATAATATACATATATATACATATATATCAACGATTTTGATACGAATGTAATCAAAATCATAATAAATAAATAAATAAATAAATAAAATTAGTTTTTTTTTTAGATGAATAACATTTAGATTGAAAACATCAATTTGCTATACTTTTTTTTTATGTGTTTTTTAATGATTTTTGATAAGACAAAATTATCAAAGAACACCCTTAATACTTTTTTTTAGACGAAAAACACTTTCAATATCATCCAAGCATACTTGTATTCAAAATAATTTAGAATCCCCAAAAGTTTGACATCCAACAACCGGTTGTTACTTGTCATGTGACAACCCCCATGGACTAAAAACTGGCACAAAATGATACAACGTTTGGTGCATTCCATTTGACTGGCATTCCTAGTTCTTGTGTTAGTAGAACTCATGTGATCGCAACCCCCGGCGTGTATCCTCCATGTCGTTGTCTTTAACTGGTCAGAAAGAGGCTTTAGTTCTTACTATATATGGTTGTGAAAGCTGAAGATTAAACAAAATAGCAGTAATTCACTTTGTTTAGTGAGTGGTTAGGGTTAAAGAAATCATTATGGTTGTAAAAGTGTATGGACCAGCTAGGGCTGTTTGTCCACAAAGGGTCATGGCTTGCCTTCTGGAGAAAGGAGTGGAATTTGATCTTGTACATGTTGATCTTGATTCTGGAGAGCAGAAACAACCTGATTTCCTCCTCAAACAGGTATACAGTTAGTTCTTGCAAGAGTATTTGTGCATGTACTTGAATAAGAAGGGTTTTTTTTTTTTTTTGACGGTTTCGAGTATTTTCGAACAAGTTTATATGTTAATTGAGATTAAGTTAATTTTCTGAATAAAATCATATCTGCTTGATAATTAGGAATAGAGTGGTGGAAATGAGAATAAAAGTTTTATTCTCACATTATAGCTGTTTGATTGAAAGAAATGAAGAACGAATGAAAATGAAAATTACACACCACTTCATTTCCATTTAAAATGTGAAAATAAAAACAATGAACGTGAATGAAATTTTTTGTTTTTTAAAATAATAATATATTTTTTTCATTTATTGTCTATTAACTACTTTTACCATCATCACCATACCACCACCACAACTATCTTTATTATTTTTACAACTAGTGTAGTTTGATAAAATTATTTTTTTAATCATTATTTTTATTTATATAAAAAATCAAATATTAAAAAATTTAAATTATATTTCGATACCTCGTTAGTATTCCAAATATAATATGAAAACATAAACGTAATTTTGATTTTCTAATTTTCATCTGTATTCCCATTTCCTAAATGATGTGTGGATTCTTGTTAGTTTTTCCTTCTTTCCACCAGTTAAGTTGCTAAGAATAAGTCCACTATTTTTCATTTTCTTTTTTTTTTTCTAATTGAGCCCTTGTCCTTTAATTCCTAAAAATTGATTAAAATGTGTTATTTTAGCCTCAAAGTTTTAAAAATAAATGAATAGATAAAAATAGCTGCACTCTTTACTTGATGAATTATTGATATAATTTTCATATTCACCTCAGCCTTTTGGGCAAGTTCCTGTTGTTGAAGATGGTGATTTCAAGCTTTTTGGTAAGAGTAATGTTATCATCATTTAGTTTCCAGTTATTATTTTCACAATTTGTCACTTTTTTTTTTATCAATATATAATTTTTTTGTGGCATTTTTTCCAATTTTTTCTTCAGAGTCTAGGGCGATCATAAGATACTATGCAGCAAAATACGCAGACCGTGGCCCAAATCTACTTGGAACAACATTAGAAGAGAAAGCTCTAGTAGATCAATGGCTAGAAATCGAAGCTCACAATTTCAATGATTTGGTGTTCAACATAGTCCTTCAAGTTGTAATCCTGCCAAGAATGGGGCTGCAAGGTGACTCCAAGTTGGCCAAAACTAACGAGGAAAAGCTAGAGAAAGTGTTGGATGTGTACGAGGAAAGGTTGTCTAAGCGCAAGTATCTAGCTGGAGATAATTTCAGTCTTGCTGATTTAAGCCACCTGCCTGCCACTAGATATCTGGTCAATGAAGCTGGATTAGGGCACTTGGTGAAAGAGAGAGAGAAGGTGAATGCTTGGTGGGAGAACATTTCAAGCAGGCCGGCTTGGAAGAAATTGATTGATCTTGCTCATCACTAGCTACCTACAATCTAAGTTTGTTTTGCAATTTTCTTATATAATAAGTATGATTTTGTACTCTTATACTACCCCCGTATTGTTCATTTTAATTTTTCTATCCAGAAATAAGACAAAACAAACCCTATATTATTGAACCTCGTAGCAAATCAGTCTTTCCATCCGCATTCGGTAAACATGTGTCATCGTATGATTGGTGTGAACTTGAAAAAAAGACTAATTTATTCTAACATTCAGTTTGATACCTATATATAAAGATTAAATAACTAATACTAAATAATATAAAGACACAAGTGAAGTGTGACGTTGAAAGAAAAGACTAATCTATTCTGACATTCCGTTTGTTTTGTATAATACCTAAATATAAAGACTAAATTAATAATACTAAACAATATAAGGGTAACTAATGAGTGTCAACGTCACTTGTCAAGAACATCTTCATTGTATTGCTTATTTTAATCTTTCTATCCAGAAATAGTACAGTCTTAAGTTTATTTTTGCAAATTTCTTATATAATAAGGGTGATTTTGTATTCTTATACTATTTCGTGTTGTTCATTTCAAGCAATTTTCTGAACATTGTAATGAGGGTGATTTCGTGCTCTTATATTATTCGATATTACTCATTTTAATCTTTTTATCCGGAAATAATACAAAACAAACTCTATATTACTGAACATTGTAACAAACCGGTCGTTTCATCCATATTCGTTAACCATATATTATCATATGATTGGTCAAACATTGGATGAAAAGATCGGTCAAACATTGGATGAAAAGATCAGTTTATTCTAATATTCAGTATTACAGAGTTTTTTTGTATGATACTAAATAGAAAGATTAAAATAAACAATACGAAATAATACAAAGACACGCGTAAATTCTACCCTATGTAATGAGCGTCAACCTTTTCTTTCTTAGTCCTGCTTCGGTGTGAATGGGAAAGGATGGAAAGCATCGTTTGACTTTGAATCCAAGGTTTAAGCCCTAATGTATGAGAAATTATCAGGCAGACTTAGTCTACCATCTCTTGTCATGTAATGCAAGTTGATGCGAAGTTGGGCATGGAAAAGTCTTGCAGGAACTTGACGTTCATTCCTTTGAATAAAAGCAATACATACAAAGATAAAATTTGTGGCCTGCCCTGTAAATGAAATTCCACCATTGGAACTTCCCTGCCATTCTTCCACAATACAGGACAAGAACATGTGCTCATGCACTTGAAGGGGACGAGCAATGGCCCTACTCCAGCCACAGAAAAAGCCATACATTGCTTGTATATTAGTAGAAGATGTATACATAAAGCTTACTCAACCCCACCATTCATGGTCCCAACCAAAAAGCCAAGTCAAAATCGATGCATATGATCCAGACAGTCTTGACCATCAAAATTACTCTTTTTGGGGCAAGTATGAATGTTATCACGAGAATTTTATGCTTCTGAGATGTAGAATGAGTGTCTTCATCGTCTCTACTGTGGATTTATGAGCTTAATAAATCGAGCAGGACCTTGAGGCAAGAGATTATGCCAGTGGAGAACGCAGCAATTTAGAAATTGCTCGAAAGTATGGGCAGAGATGCATCCGAATATTGCCCATATAAGGGTTGGTTCCAAAAACTAGGACGGCTGTTGCCAACCTCTAAGGCCAAACAGACTCTTAATTTCAGGGCTGAAAATATCAATGGCAATAAGAGCTATCTTGGGATCAGGTGGTAATAAGAGCAGTTTGATCATAGGAATCTTAAAAGGCAAGTAAAAAAGAGCTATTCCATCCAATAACAGTGAAAAGGAGAAGGCAGTGCCGATAGCATCAGTTTAGTACTGGAGAACAGAGAACTTGCTCCATTTTCCCTGAAGATTATTGATCCTTTATGATGACAATAGGGAGAGACAGAGACAATACTTTATGATGGTTCTATCAAGTTGTCCTAGTACTCAGAATTAAAAACAAAAAGCAGTTCGCAAGTCTTTCAAGTTTTGAAGCTCAAGTTCCAACTGAGAACTCGCATAAAATCTTTCAACTAATTCAAATCAAAGCTTCTTAGTCACAATTGCAACATTTTGGTCATTGTACTACTGAGAAACATGATGTCCATCAATTACGATGACTATACCATCTAGTCCTATCACAGCCCATAAATGCCACAGACTGAGAAGGCTATTCCCAGGTCATTGGGCAGTTAAGGGGACCTTTAGAAGAATCTAAGGATTCTCAAACTAGGCAAGTGAATCTTCATTTCATTTGCACATGCATAATCCAACGCATCACAAAATCAAGCAAGGTGAATAATGAAAACTTCTAAGCTTCTTGAACAATAAGTAGTAGAAATCTTGGGACATCTAGAAACAATGGATCCGAACAGACTGATCATGAACTGGACACTCCTTAGACTTGCAGACACATTAGTTCCTAAATTTCTCAAGATTCAAATTTTGGAAGTCGGCAAACTATTAGCATAACAGATAACTAACTACACAAAAAACATCAGCAAATGCATTAAATCAAAAATAGAATATAGGCCACCCCTTAAATTACATGAACATAGCATTGTCTTCAATGATCATAAAAAAAGCTGGCCAAGTAGAAATGTTTTACAAATGACAGATCAATTCAGAAACATTTATGTAAGTGGGGAAGAGAAATATCCTAGGCTGCATTAAGCTACATTAAAGGTACAGTGCCTGATGCCCATGTAATATACATAAATATCCAATGATCGAGCACGAGAACGAGGAGCATACCATTTAGTTGAAGTCTTCCAAAACACAGCATGGCATGCAAAGATGCCCCAATGCTACTATTCTCCACAAGGATAACAGTTTTTTGTTCTTGTTCTGTCTATGCTAGTCCTTATAATCAGGATCTTGTCTGCCAAAGATCAGTGGGAATTCATCGTATTGGTCAGAGAAACCATGTTTCTCAGCCATGCCCTTCAGAGACTCATAGATTTGGTACATTGTAGGCCTATCCTTGGGCCTGGAAACAACACAGCTCCAAGCAACCTTCAAGAACTGCATAATTTCGTCATCATAACCTTTCCCAAGTAGAGCTTTATCAATGGCATCCTTGCTTCGACCATTGCTCACCAATTGATTAACCCAATCCACCAAATTCCCTTTGAATCCTTCCTCCGCATTACTGACATCTAAAGGTCTCTGTCCGGTAATCAACTCGAAAAGCACAACACCAAAGCCATAAACATCACCTTTCAGTGAGGCAACCATAGTACTGGAATACTCAGGGGCAACATACCCAAACTCCCCCAGATCTCCACTAACAAAAGAACTATCATTAGAATTGGGAGAACTAATCAACCTTGCCAAACCAAAATCAGTAATCCTCGCATCAAAATCATCATCAAGAAGTATCACATTGGAACTAATATACTGGTGGATATATGGTGGATGGCACCCATGGTGAAGCCAAGCAAGCCCTCTTGCCGCGCCAACACCAACCCTCACCCTTGTAGGCCAATCCAAAACACTAGACTGACTAATACCAAATCCACTCCCATGCAATTGAGAATACAAAGTCCCATTAGGCATATGCTTATACACCAAGAGCTTTTCTGCTTCCACAACACAAAAGCCCAACAAAGGCACCAAATTCGGATGCCTAAGCTGCCCTAACCTATTCATCTCACCCCTAAATTGCTTCTCACCAAGCTCACAAGCATTAAGCCTCTTAATAGCAAGACTAGACCCATCAGGGAGATCCGCCTTATACGAAACCCCAGTTCTCGTCGAAATCACAACATTCTCAACATCAAAACTATTAGTAGCAGCCAAGATATCAGCCAACTTGACCTTAACAATAGGTTTTTGAAACAACGTCACTTGAACTAGCTTGTGTGACCTCAACAACCGAATCCAACTAGAATCATCACCCTTACCCCCACTTCGGCCGACGGCGCCACCACCACCGACTCTCTTTCCCCTAACAAACAACCACCACCAAATCACAAACCCCAAAATCAAAGAGCCACCAGCACCAATAACCCCAGCAACAATTATAATGCCAAGGCTCTTACTACTCAACCCACCACATTTCCCTAGCGGCTTACCGCACAACCCATCATTCCCATCAAAAGCATCCTTCGAAAACCCCCTCAATTCATCCGGTATCGAACCAGTCAGATCATTAGAAGCCACTGAAAACTTTTTCAACCGGTCAAGACGACCAAGACCATAAGGAATCGAACCGGTCAACTTATTTTCACTCAAAAACAAATTATTCAAGAACTTACAATTCACAATCTCCTGCGGGATCGGACCAGAAAATTTGTTCCCGGAGAGATCAAGAGTGACTACATAAGGCAACCAGTTACAAATCTCAGGTGGGATCGGGCCAGAAAGATCATTGTTTGAAAGATCCAGTGTTTGTAAGCTATGACAGTACTTGAGAGACTCCGGTAACTTGCCTGAAAGCTGAGACTGCTGCAACTGAAGACTGATGATTCGATTCTCCTTCTCGTTCCAGCAAGAAACTCCGGTGAGTTTACAAACGAAAGCAACTGAGTTGTTGTTGAAAGACCAGGAAGTGAGTCGACTCTGTGGGTCTGTAAAGGCTTTCTTGACTCCTTCAAGACATGTGATGTCATCTTCTATGGAGAAAGAAAGGGTGAAGAGGGAGAGTAGTAAAGAGAAAGAAACGAGGGTTTTCTTCTTCATTTCTTGAAGTTGGGATCTTGAGGTCTGTAGAGAGAGAAGAGGAGAGACCGAGAGAGTTAGGGTTTGTTAGTTAGAGAAGTCAGAAGAGGAAGAAGAGAGGAAAAATATGGATGGCCATTCATTGAGTTGGAGGAATGCACATAGCATCCTGTTTGCTTTTTAACCAAGACAACAACCTAAGTGGAAAAAAAGAAAGAAAGACACATGTAGGACTGTAATAATCACGTGAAACATTTCATAAACAACTCTTTAGTCCCTTTATTTTTAAACTTTTTATAAACGAGTCCCTCATAGTTGAAAACTTATAATTGTTGACCATTTTTTTTGTTTTT